CAGAACAAAGCATATCGATATCCGGCATCACTTCCTTCGAGATCACGTATTGAACAGAGATGTCGATGTTACTTTCATCGACACACACAACCAACTCGCCGACATCTTTACCAAGCCTTTGGCGAAAGAACCGTTCTACAAAATTCGGAGAGAACTTGGGATTCTTGATGAAGGTGACATTTGACCTTTTCTCTAATATGTGTATGCATCATTTGTGATATGTTTTCATATGTTTTCATTCTGTTTTTAAGTATTTTTCAAAAATTCAAGTGTGTTAATCGATTAACCATATGGCTTAACCGATTAACACTGTTGAATTTTCAATTCTGATTCAATTTTTTAATGTGTTAACCGATTAACCTATATGGTTAACCGATTAACACTGTTAAATTTTCTAAAAATCAGAAACGAAAATTAATTAAATTTTTGAAAATATTATATATTATAAATGTATTTTTATGTGGTCCATATTCTCTCAAATATCCAAATCCATATTCCCTCTTCAAACCCTAACTTCTCTCTCCCACTCTCTAAAGTTGGAAAACTTCCCACAACCTCTCAAACCCTAACTTCCTCAGAACCCACAACCTCAATTCTCTCAAACCTTCATCCATGGCTTCAGCATCAAATCGCGGCAAGGGAAAACTACCAGAACATCATTCTGCATCAGAATCTGATGACGACAGCATTCCAATGGAAACCACCAAAAAGAGGCGAATGGATTTCAAAGTTCGTGTTCGTCAACTTATGCCGGTAAAGTACGTAAATCTTCGAGCTTTTCCTGCAATATCTTTTGATTTTCCTACTCTTTTGGAATATCAACGTATCGACAAGTTCGTCACCGACTCTGGTATTATTTATCCTGATCTTGTTAAAGCTTTTATGAATAAAATGGCTGTATATCTGGACATGGATGAGAACCACATGATCCGTTCCACCATTAGAGATCATGAGTTTGTTGAGAATTTATCCACCCTTGCTAGACACCTTAAGATTCCATCAAAAGGCTGCTTCCTGAGGAAAGGTGTAAACCATGTAGATGGACCCTGGGCAAACTATGATAAAATGGAGTATTACTATCAGATTTGCAGGTTCCCAAAAGAAACAGTTATTGCAAACTCTCGCACCGCTCGTATGCTGTGCTATGCCAAGAATCTGACAGTATCTGATCGAATGCTTCACTACATTATCTGTTATGTCCTCATTCCAAAGGACTCAAATCACTCTCAGATCAACGACTTGGAAATGCAGCTGCTCTTTGCAATTAAGAATCGCATCAAGGTCAATTGGATTTTGACTATTATGTATCATCTGCAGCAACAACTTCATTGCATTACCCGACTGCCGTATGCTCGTTTGGTTTCTAGAATTCTGGAATTAACTGAACTTGACCTCAACAGAGAACCATCCTCCAAGATGAAACCTACAACTAATGAGATCAATGAGATTAATATTGTGAAGAATACTGGAATCATCAAAGCGGCTGACGGTACCTACAGGTATACTGATGACGGTCCTGTCCATCACGCATATCCAATGCCTGAAGGGGGTCTTACAAGTGAGTTTCTCTATACAACCATGATGAACCAGCATCGATAATCAATGAATATGCATAGAGAGACCTCCCGAGCAATTGCCTCCCTCAGAAACCTCATTCTTAACCCTCCACATTCCAACACCCGAGTTGTGGACGAAGAGATTGAAGAAGAGGTTGATAGTGATGAAGAAGAAGAGGAGGAGGATATGGCGGATGAGGATTCTTAGAGAATATGTTCCTGTTGTTGTTCTTATTGCATTGCTTTCTAGTCTTAAGTTTTATGCTTCCATTTGAACTATGTTTTATTGTAACAAGTACAATTTCTATTTGCTGCATTTTATATGTACTACTTTTTATGTTATGTGTTTACTTGGCTTTGCATGTGCTTATTACTATATATGCTGCTATCTTGTGGTTTCTTTGAAAGCTCTTCCTTTTTGCTGATGACAAAGGGGGAGAAGAGCTTGGTTCTGTTAATGTCTCTCTGTGTGCAGATATTTTTTCCTCAGTTAAGATAGGGGGAGTTGCTAGACATAGGGGGAGAAACATATCAAGAACCAAGAGATATCGCACAACACTTTTTGATTGCCATCATCAAAAAGGGGGAGAATGTAGAAGCATGCTTCAGTCTCAAGTTTTGATGATGTCAACACTACTCAAGGTCATCTCTTGATTACAAAAAGACAAGCCTTTCAAAGTTATCAAGATCAAGTCAAGCTACATATGGAACTATGATTCTTCAAGACTTGGATGCATTGCGGGTATATCAAATTCTACACTTATAATTGATATACAAGTGTTCAAAAACATCAAGCATTTGAGCATAATACATGAGCATGTCTTTGAAACTTTAAAATTGGTATAACATTTATTTTTAAAAGCATTTTTCTGAAAAATAGCAGTGTTAACCGATTAACCATATAGGTTAACCGGTTAACCATTTCAAGCTTTAAATAATCTGGGCTAACGTTCCAGTGTTAACCGATTAACCATATAGGTTAACCGATTAACACTGAACGTACAGTGAAAAATGGCTTTGTTTCAAGTTCAAAAATTGTTTGAAAATTACACCATTTCATATTTTTGAAATCTACTCAAATATACCTTTTTGAAAGGGTATTTTACTCATATAAATTCTGAGTTTTTCAATTTTGAAATACACACAAAAACCTCCAATCTCCAAACACTTTCTACATTCACTTTCAAATTTTCTTAGAATCAAATTCACTTTTTTCAAAATCTTTTCTAAGTGTTCATATGTGCATAAAATTTCATATTCATTTTTGAACACTTGTGTTGAAAATTATAAGGGTGAATTTTGATCATTTGGAGAAGATCAACTTTGATATTATTATTCTCAAAACAAAAATCTTTACAAGTATTTGTATTCTGACTTGTGATCCAGGATTGTTGGACACAAGGGTGAGTGTTTACAAGAGGATTGTTCTTGTACACTTGTTAGTTTTATTGTTTGATAGTAGGCCTCACCGGTTGATGGTGTGATAGGTTGTACTTTATTAAACAATAGTGAAAACTCTCTTTCGTGTTGAAAGGGGAGTGGAGTACTCTCGGATTGTGAGGGGAACCACTATAAATCCTGGTGTCCATTGTTCTTTTATTTTCTTCTGCTTTCATAACCAAGAACACAAACCAGTAAAATTTCAAGAAACCAAAAAAAAAAAACCGGAAAAATTTCTAAAGTCCTAATTCACCCCCCCCCCCCCCCTCTTAGGCATACTCTGTACTTACAGAGGTTTGTTAAGTGAATAGTTTAAATCCATTTCATTCCTACTAGGATGTTTAGTCTTGAATAAGAGTTCCACTTTGATGTCACTTGTTTAACAAGTGACTCCAAACATAAGGAGGGGGTGGAATGTGAAATGTAAAAATCTTGACTAATTAAAATATTCGTTTTACTTTGAAAATAATTTATGTTAGCACAAAGATAAAACAATTGAAAATAGAAAGAAGGAATTAGAAAGGAAAAAAAATAAATTAACATAAATAAAAGAGATAATGATAGAGAGATTACATAATTATTTATAGAGGTTTGGCCTACCACTAGGCCTACTCATCTCCTAAAGAACTTCTTTAGAGTTCCACTAAAATAATATCTTGAGCCTTATGGATATGCCTACAAACCTTATTATAAAGAAGAGAATTTTTATACATGTTAATCTTCCAAAGCAAATAAAGCTTTTGATGGATGAGCTCACAAGGCAAACAAAGATTTTGACGACTAATCTCAAAAACAAAAAAGAGATTTAACTAGGACAACCTCAACAGGCAAACCGAAATTTTACTAGGACAATCTCAAGAATCATATATATTAAACAAGAGAATCACACTCTTGATAAAAAAACACTTGCATGATCACTAGTACAATGAAAAAGTCAACATATTTCACTCTGAAAGCACTAAGATAACTTTAGTTAAAGAATATAAAAATGAGAGAAGAGATCAAATAAGATAAATATACTAGAAATCTGAATTATGGTGTTTTTTAAAATGAGGAGAAGCCTCCTTCACATAGGAAAAAAGTATATCTCAAAAGGAAAAATTATCCATGGACGTTTTAATGTTCATAATCAATTAAGTGTTAGGTTTAATTGATTATTTAGGCTAAATATGGAAGATTTTCATATTCAATGTCACAACATGATTAAAAACCCTCTTAATTGATTTGGAGGTGTTACAAAAGAGATAATTTTTTTAACTCTAATGTGTAAATTAATTATCTAATGTAAATTACACCCTTAAAAAATTATTCAAATTAATAACCAACTAGTTACTTGTCTGAAACATTTTTTTGATAATTTTATAAAAGCAAAGAGATTTCCAAAATATTTTAGTGTGTTTGTGTTTGAGTTTCGTTAGTAACTTAGAAGCACTCATATATTTTTATAATACAATGATAATTCAAAAACATGATCCAACAAACTTTTAAATTTCTCTCTTTCACAATTAAGAAATTCAAAAACTCCAGTTAGATTCCTCGTTGATTCAACATTTCATTTGTGACTTGATTTCTTCTATCTAAAAATGTCCGATATAACTTTTCTTATAGATGCCATCAAGAGAGATTGCTTGATCGGAATTCTTTAATGATCCCATCAGAGTAATCTAATTCTATACATTTGAAGATTACTTTAAATAAATATATACTCAATGAATTCATTTTCCAATTGGAAAGTACTGAGAAGCCTGAGTCATCAAAAGCACAAGGACCAAGAAGTTGACTGTGAAGTACAAGTACCTGTTAGCTTTGTCTCTTTCGACTGCTCTCCACGTGCTCTTCTGCATTATTTTATTTGTAGTGGTGTGTGCTTCCTCCCACTTGCCCTTGTTCTATTCATTCATGACTCTCCCTTACACCATTTACTCACATTTCACATTCTCAGCATTTCTATATAACACCACAATCCACAACTCATGTTTTATCACATTCAGCAATATTTTCACTATGGCTACTTCATCTACCCTCCTCCACTTGTTCCTCCTCTCACTGTCTCTTCTTTCACTCTCATCTTTATCACTTGCACTGTTACCAAAACCCAACCCATTTATCCTCCCCATTGCAAAAGACGCAAAAACCCTTCAATACTCAACCACTATCAAAATGGGAACCCCTGCAAGATCCTTAGACCTAGTCATTGACATCAGCGAACGTTTCCTATGGTTCGAATGTGACAAGTCCTACAACTCCTCAACTTACCACCCAATCCAATGCGGTTCAAAGAAATGCAAACTATCAAAAGGCACAGAATGCATTACTTGTACTAACCATCCTCTCAAAACTGGATGCACTAACAACACTTGCGCCCTTAGCGTCTTCAACCCTATCGCCCAACTCTTCGTCAGCGGAGACGTCGGAGAGGATATCTTATCTTCCCTACGTACAACCGCTGGCGATAGAGGTATACTTAAAAACATAAACGCACCACGTTTCATTTCTTCGTGCGTGTACCCAGATAAATTTGGTGTACAAGGCTTTCTCCAAGGTATAAGCAAAGGTAAAAAAGGTATACTAGGTCTTGCAAGAACTCTTATTTCTTTACCAACACAACTCGCTACTAGATTTAAACTAGAACGTAAATTTACACTTTGTTTACCTTCATCTTCTAAAACTAATGGCCTTGGAAGTCTCTTTATTGGTGGAGGTCCTTATCACTTGGGATCCAACAAAGATGATTTTTCCAAATTTCTTACCTACACCCCACTTATTGCTAACCGTCACAGCACTGGTCCTATATTTGACAACTCACCTTCAACTGAGTACTTTATTAAGGTGAATTCAATTAAGGTTGACAACAATGTTGTGAATTATAATACGACATTGCTTTCTATTAACAAACTAGGAGGTGGTGGTACAAAACTCAGCACTGTGATTCCTCACACAAAACTACACACTTTAATATACCAACCACTTGTGAATGCTTTTGTGAAGAAAGCTGAAATAAGAAAGATAAAGAGAGTGAAAGGTGTTGCACCATTTGGAGCATGCTTTGATTCAACAACAATTGGCAAGAGTGTTACCGGGCCTAATGTGCCTACCATTGGTTTGGTGTTGAAGGGAGGTGTTGAATGGAGAATCCATGGTGGTAATTCAATGGTGAAGGTGAATGAAAATGTGTTGTGTCTTGGATTTGTGGAAGTGGCTTTGAAGGATTTGGGAGGATTGGAACCTTCGTTTGTTATTGGTGGACATCAGTTGGAGGATAATCTTTTGGAGTTTGATCTTGTTTCCTCCAAACTTGGCTTTAGTTCATCACTTCTACTTAACAAAGCAAGTTGTTCAAGCTTTAGGAGATTTTAATGTTTGACTTTTTGTCTTGTATTTCTAATGTAACATGCATGGAAATAAGTGTTTAGTTTCCATTAACGTGAGCATGTTTGGTTTCTTATTTGTGACCATTAACCTTAGTTTCAAACTGAAAATATGGTTTGCTACTATGTTTGGTGCCTGTTTAAAACCCGTTCAATAAATATATTTTTGCCGCAAAACTGCATTCAGCCTATTTTGCCCGTGATATGTTATTTCTTTATTTCTATATCCAATTATACAGTTGTGCGCCAAAACTTATCCCACTACTTTAAACACTTTTCTTTTTTATTTGCTACAGACACTCATTTTAAACGTTTTTCTTGGAATTTTTTTTTTAAATAACAACTTTTTATAATTTAATTACCATTTAAACCTTGTTTTCAAACAAATTCCCAAACTAACAATGTTTCAACTGAAGCCAAACGCATTCGCCAATCCAAACGGCGAATTCGTCAATCCAAACGGCGAATTGGTTGGAAAGGATGAACTAATTCGCCAATCCAAACGGCGAATTGGTTGGAAAGGATGAACTAATTCGCCAATCCAAACGGCGAATTGGTTGGAAATGATGAGCTAATCCGCCAATCCAAACGGCGAATTGCCTGAAACTCATTTTCCATTTCTTCTCTTTCGCCAATCCAAATGGTGAATTGGCTGGAAATGTTTGTCATTTTGGAATTTTTTTTGAATTATTGATTATTGTGGTAATTTAAATTTAATATATGATTATTTTAAAAAAAAATTCTTTTTCTTGCAACTGATTTTTATTTCGCTACACTTTAAGTGCAGCACAGTGCGGATATTATTGTTTAGCAACACTCTAAAAAAAACTATTGACAAATAAATCTATACTATTTGTCGGCCATTTTCGTTGTTGGTGGGGATTATCCCAATGATTGATTGTAGTCATATCATTGAGAGAAAAAAATTACTCTTATCAAACCCGCATAAACATTGTCGAAAAAAAGTGGCAGAGAAAAGTTATTAGATCTAAATTCATTTTAGTTTTATTTAAGTGTAATTTATCTTGCATTTGAATTTTATTTAGTTTGAATGTGTATATAAATTTATATAAGTTTGGTTATTAGTTGTAACAAATTAAGAATTTTAATATTTTTTATTAAAAAGTTAGTTATAATTTTTTTCTCTTTTCTCTCTTTCATCTTCATCATTTTCATCTTCTTTGAAAAACACGAGTAAACTTGAGGTGTGTATGACTGATTTTTATTCTAAAATTTATAGTGAATTGAAGTTTGAAATTGTAACAGAATCACATTGTTTGATTCTGAGGGATTGAGAAACACAGGTGTTTGGTGAGATTTGAGTGAACTTGTTGTGAATTGATGTTGTCAAGAACAAATCAAAATATTTGAAAAATATTGAGTTTCTTGAATAAACACAAGAAACCCTATTAGATTTTATAAAAGATAGAGAAGAAGGAAGAAGTATAAAAATTGGTTTAAACTGTTTTTCTATTCACTTACTCAATAAGGGTTCAAAGATTACAAGTGAATAACAACAATTAACCTCTCTCAACAACCTGAGAGAACTAGTCTATTTATAGACTACTAAGCTAACTTATACTACACGTTAACTTAACAATTTGGGTTACAAGCAAAACTCAATTCGACATAACTTAAATACAAAGCTAACATATTTCAACAACATGCTTGAACAAACTTCGACTACAGCATGCACAACTTTTGTCGAACCATGAAGTTACCATTGTCGACACTAGAGTTCGACTACCCCTCTGACGAAATGCAGCCTCACACCGATGTGATTGGTTTGCTCATGATAGGCTGAATTCTTCGACGGGTGTAATGCACTTTGACTATCACTAACAATGAAAACTCGACCTTGAAGTTTCATCTCCTTAGCAAAACCTTCAAGCCACATTGCTTCTTTCACAACTTCAGTGAGGGTGATATATTCTTCTATAATGGTTGATAAGTCAACAACCTTCTGAAGTGTTGCTTTCCAACTAATTGTTGTGTCAAACATAGTGAACACATATTCAAAAATAGATTTTCTGGAATCCGTACAACCTATATAATCAGAGTCGACAAATCCTTCAATTTCAATTTTTCTATCATCACCACAGGCTCTAACATAAATTAGGACTCTGCTCAAACACCCATTGATGTACCTAAGAATCCACTTTAATGTTTGCTAGTGCACCTTCCCAAGATTGACCATATACCTGCTTACAAGGCTAACTCCGTATGCTATGTCTGACCTCATGCATACCATAACATACATCAAAGAGCCTATTATACTAGCATATGAAATGTTATTCATATAGGCTCTTTCGATTTAATTACTAAGACTCTGAGTCATACTCAACTTGTATTGAGGATTATCAGTGTTATAACAGGATTTGAATTCGACATATCAAACTTGTCGAGAATCTTCTTCAGGTATGTCTCTTGAGATAAGCATAATCTCGACTGCTTTCTATCTCTCCAGACATCAATCCCAAAAATTATAGAGGTAGCTCCCAGATCCTTCATGTCGAACTCCTTATCAAGTTCAGCCTTCACCTTTATAACATCTTCGACATTGTTTCTTGCTATGAGGATGTCATCCAAATAAAGCAACAAAATAACAAGTGTATTTTCAGGTCAAAATCTGAAGTAAACACAGTGATTGAACTAGCTCCTAGTGAAACCAATGTGTGTCATAAACTTGTCGAATCTCTTATTCCATTGTCAAGGAGATTGTTTCAGGTCATACAAGGACCTATTCGGCTTGCACACATAATCTTCCTTTCCCTTTTCTGCATACTCTTTAGGTTGACGCATCAGGATCGTTTCGTCCATATAACCATACAAGATGGTTGTCTTCACGTTCATTTGTTCAAGTTCTAGGTCAAACTTTGCCACCATGGCTAACAACATTCTAATGGATTTATGCTTTACAACATGTGAGAACACATCATTAAAGTCGACACCTTCTTTCTGAGTGAACCCCCTAGCAACCAACCTTGCCTTAAAACGCTTTGACATCACTCATTGGATTCCTTCTTTAACCTTGAAGATCCATTTATAGCTGACTAACCTGGCCCCTGCAGGTTTCTCGATCAGCTCCCAAGTGTTATTATTATGGAGAGATTTCATCTCATCATCCATGGCTTCAAGCCATTCAGTCTTATTTTGAATCCTCATAACTTCCTTATAATCTCTAGGTTCTTTGTCAAGAACCTCACTTGCATATATTAAGGCATAAGCTATGGGATCTGCATAACCAAGTCTCTGAGGTGGCTTGATGACTCTTCTAGACGTATCTCTTGCCAGCAGATAGTCATTATCAGTCTCCTCATCTTCGACAACAGCTTCTGCTTCTTCTTTGACTTCATCTGGGTCATGTAATTCAACATCACTATGCTCCACCTCAACAGAAATCTCTTCATGTTCCAGCTCTTCTTCAAAGATCTTTGAACTTCGACCAATGTCATCTGTTTTCTTGAAAGTCATCTCAACTTTATTGAAAACTACATCTCGACTTATGATACACCTCCTGTGACCTGGCTCTAGGCAACATAGCCTATAAGCTTTAACCCCTTCAGGGTATCCAAGGAACATACATCTCAGAGCTCTAGGTTCGACCTTGTCTTGCCTAATATGAGCATAAGATAAACAACCAAATAATCTAAGTCTGTCGAGACTAGGTGGATGTCCCGACCAGACTTCTTCAGGTGTCTTCATTCCCAAGGTTGTCGAGGGACACCTATTTATCAAGTATGTTGCAGTCACAACAACTTCTGCCCAAAACACATTCTGGAATCCTGCACTTACCAACATGCACCTCACCCTTTCTAGAATGGTTCGATTAAACCTTTTAGCCAAACCATTTTGTTGGAGAGTTCTTGCAGTATTTGTGTGCTTTGCAATACCATACGCAGCATAATAGTTGTCGAAAACCTCATTACAAAATTCAAGACCATTGTCGGTCCTCAACCTCTTGACCATCCTACTAGTTTGGTTTTCAACTAGAGTCTTCTAACTTTTGAAATCTTCAAAAGTTTCATCCTTAATCTTCTGGATGAATATCCATAACTTTCTGGAGTAATCATCAACTATGGATAGAAAATACTTTGCAACTGATTGTGAAAGATTCCTTCCAAGCCCCCAAAGATCAACATGAATGTAATCAAAGGATCCTGTGTTCTTTCTTTATCTTTGTTAAACTTTATTTTACATGGTTTACCAAATACACAAGGTTAAGAAAACTCCAGTTTTTCGACCTTGTCACCACTTAACAGATTTTATTTCGACAATTCAGCCACACCTCTTTCACTATCATGGACAAGTGTCTTATGCCATAGCTTTGTCTTCGACACATGTTTTATGGATGCAGCATCTGCTGAACCACTTACAACCTCATTCTCAAGGGTATAAAAGCCTTGCTTTTTCATTCCTCTCAAGACTTTCTTCGACCCCTTCATTACTCTTAGGATGTTTTGCTCTCCTTTGAAAATATATCCTTTCTTATCGAATTCACCAAGAGAAATAAAATTCCTCTTAAGATTAGGTACATACCTGGCATCAGTAAATAACCTTATTGACTCATTATGGAACTTTAATCTCACAGATCCAATACCTGCAACTTTACAAGCTTTGTTATTTCCCAGCAGCACTAATCCACCATCTTGATCACGTAATTCCTCAAACATGACTTTGTTTGGATTCATGTTCCAAGTACACCCTGAATCCATAATCTACTCCTTTCTAGAGACACTGCTTGAAACCATCAGGACATCAAATGATTCACAACCATCTTGTATAATGGATGCATTACCATTATCCTTTCATCCATGATTGTTCAGTCAATTAGGGCATACTTTTCTTGTATGGCCCTCCTTCTTACAATGATAACAATTAATAGTAGAAGCATTACCACCATAATAATTATGTAGAACTTTACCCTTCTTCTTCTAAAACCTACCATCTTTCTTCAAGAATTTACCTTTAACGAACAAACCTTCACAA